TTCTGCACCCTGCTCTGTGCCCTGGAGGCTGACCTGAAGGGACCGCATCAACTGACTCCAGTGCCCTTTGGCTTCTGGTTGGGTTGGCTGAAGGGGAGCCCAGGAGGAGATGGGGGGAGAGAGGAAGGGAGGAAGCTGGGGTACTTGTTCCTCAGGCCCCCTCTTTGTGTGGTACCTCAGACTGGCACATCTGTTTACAAAAGGTGCAGCTCCTATCAGGTCCTCTCTCACCCCAGGTTCCATTAACATCTCCCTCCCCTCACCCCTTCAGGTTCTAGGCAATATCAACCTTGCTGTTCCTAACCCTAGGATACTGCAGGATCCTGTGTGGTTTCCCTTCACAGCACCCCCTCCCCATCATCATAAATAGGCGCTTTATGAAGCCCACTTTGAACCATGCTAATTTAAGTGTGAATGTGTTTTCTACTGTGATCCTGTCTGATACAAATGGGTAAATGGTTGGACGGATGGATGGATAGATAGATGGACGGATGGATGGAACTTGTAGAATGTGGTAGTTAAGAGCCCAAGTTTTGTAGCCTAAATTTGTATCCAAGCTCTAACCACTTATTAGATGCCTGAACTTGGGCAAGTTATATAATGTCTCTAAGATTTCATTTTCTCAGCTGTAAGATGGGAGCAGAAATAGTAACTTACAGAGCTTTGATGAGGATCAAATGTGACAACAAATGAAAAGAATTGAGCACCTTGCTTAGCATACAGTGAGTACTCAATGAATGCTCCCCATTGCTGCTACGGCTGGCCTGTCAGACAGTAAGACGAAGGCCCACAATGCCTCCCCCATCCTGCGCCATCTGAAGTTCATGAACAAGGAGGTCAAGCAGGTCATGGTGTAAATCATCTGTGAGTTCTCTCCCCAGGGGCCGCCAGTCTCGCCTCGCCTCCCCTCCCCGAGCCTGGCTGTGGAAAGCGCCGATGTTCTCACTCCTCCCCTCGAGCTCGTTGGGCAGTTAGCTGAGGTGGGCAGACTGACAGCTCTTTCTGTCCCCTGCTGGGCATTCCTATGTCTTGGTCCTCTTTCTCTAGAGCCGGGGTGGGGAGCGCGTGGCTGAGTGCTCGGTGACATAAGTGACTGTGGTGGCTCTGGGGAAGCCTCGAGTCCCACTTTTAGGAGGCCTAATAAAGGTCAAGAGCCTCAGGCCTTCCTGTTGAGGGACTTCCCAGGCTATGGGCTGAGAGTGGTCCCTAGCATCTCCCCATTGGAGGCCCGTCTGAGGCCTGGGCAGGGAGAACTAGCCCTGCCTCCAGGAGGCAGCCTCCACCTGCCAGGAGCAGCCCTGGCCTCCCTGCCACTCGCCCGGTGCCTGCAAGCACCCACGCAGTGCCACAAGCTCCCTCCCGCCCCACAGTCAGCGAGGGTTCACTGAGGCCCCTTCTGAGCCAAGGGCCACCCCAGGCACCAGGAGCACAGAAGAGGCAGACATGGCCCCAGCCTTCGGTGCACAAGGCACGCATGCAGAGGTGGGCACGGCAGGAAACGGGCGAGCGCAACCCCTCCCTTAACAGATGCCCACAGTGAGTCCCAGAGAGGGGAGGGACCTGCCCGAGGCCACCCAGCACTTTGGGGCAGAGTCTGTTCTGCCGGGGTTTCCCAACCACCAAACCAGTGTCTTTCCACCTCCTGAGTCAGCATGAGTTGTAGGCAAGGAGACAAAGTACGTCCTCGCAGCTTGAGGGGCTTTGGACACTGACCTGACTTCCAGGCCCTGCCCGCCACTGATCCCCCAGCGGGGTGATGGCGTGTCACCCAATCTCTCTCAGCCTCCATCGCCTCAGCTTTGAAAGCAGAATAATAACTCCTTCCTTTGCAGAGAGTTCCCGTGAGAATAAGGAGAACATCCTGCGTTGTGCCTGAATAACACATATTAGGTTGAACCATAAGAAATTGTCAGTTTTTCAAATAACGGTTTCACCTAATAATTATCATTTTTGTTAGGATTAGAACAATCATTGTCAACTGTGTGCCCTTGTACATGCTACTTTATCTCCCAGTCTCCTCATCCAAAAAAAGGGAGACGCTGTGCAAAGCGCCCAGAGTCAGACCTGCCGTTGCAGACTCTCGCTGACGCCTGGTTCCCTCCTGCCCCTTCCCCTCATCAGGCCCTTCTTCCGTGGGAGGCCACAGCAGGACCTGTCCTCTTTTCTGAGTACCACAGCCCCGTGGGGATGAAGACGAAATTGTGACCGAGAGACGGGAGAAGAGTAAGGAGCTGGCTTCTCAAATCATCTTCTCAGAGCAGTTTGAAAAGTTAAAAGAAGGGGCCGGCCCCATGGCCAAGTCGTTAAGTTCACTCTCTGCTTCCTTGGCCCGGGTTTTCACCAGTTTGGATCCTGGGTGCGGACATGGCACCGCTCATCAGACCACGCTGAGGAGAAGAAGTAAAAAGAAAGATTGGCAACAGATGTTAGCTCAGAGCCAATCTTAAAAAAACTAAATAAAAAGTCAAAAGAAAAAACACCAGGTCGTGTTTTTAAAAACCTAACACAGGCGCCCACCCCATGGCCCAGTGGTTGGGTTTGCGTGCTCCCCTTCGGCAGCCCACAGTTCAGAGCCTGGGCAGGGACATGGCACCGCTCATCAGGCCATGCTGAGGCGGCGTCTCACATGCCACAACTAGAAGAACCCACAACTAAAATATACAACTATGTACCGGGGGGCTTTGTGGGGAAAAAAAACCTGACACAGTGCAACTCTATCAAATCACGCCCAGGACTTCAGGTCTCAGGGACGTGGAGACAGAGCCCCACGGATGGAGCCCCTCCCTCCTCCATTCCCCACTGCTGACACTCTTCCAGAATCCCTGAACGGGATCTAGCAAGAAAGTTCAGCGTGTTCTGGGTCACAGCTGAGAAAACAGCCAAAATGTCCTTTTGGCAGCTGGATGCCACCTGGAGCCGCAGCAGAACGGAAGATTCCACATCTGGGAAGGGCCTGGAGTCCTGAGGCCAGTCCCTTGCATGTAGATAGGTGGCTGTCAAACCCTGAGGGCTGAGGCAGGTGGGTGCTCTCCAGGATGGAGGTTCCGCCCTCCCTGATTCCCCCGCAGGGTTTTATCTCCTGCCAGTCAGGAAGCCGTTTCCTTTGTCAGCCTCAGCCCTTCCTTCCTTCATCCATTAATCAGGAGCCCCTGACAGCATCTCTGTGCTGGGCTCCTGTGTGCTGGCCCAGGGAACGCCGGGACAAACAGAACAGCCCTGTACACTCCCCAGTCTGTCTCACTGATTCTCGTTACCCACGTAGCACCTATCCCTCCACACGCCTTGACTCCCAACCAGGAGCTGGGAGATCCCCAGGCCTGGACCCAGGGGAGGCAGGACCCAGCAGCACAGGACACACGGGAGCTACTCCCTAAGTAGTTGTTCAATGTCAAATGAATGGACGAACAAGTGAATGAATAGCCAGGCTCCACAGGAACATTTTCGGCAACGAGATGCTCCTACTTCACAGGGAACCCATTTCCCCGGAGGGAACAGTTTGGAGGTGGTGGGCCCAAGCCGAGGCAGGTCCAGCTGGCCCCCCAGCTCTCCTTCTGCCAGTGGGGAGGCGGTATCCATTGGAGAGGGCACGGAGCTTCCCACACACGCCTTGACTCCCAACCAGGAGCTGGGAGATCCCCAGGTCTGGAAATTCCCTCATACCTGGTTCTGGGCTTTCCCACTCCGCTCCCCGTCTCCCACAGGCCCGGACAGTCTCAGCACCATTTCTTGGAAGGAGGCATTGGCTCAGGATCACAGGTTCTGGGATTCACTACAGGAAGTTGCCGTTTGAATAAAGGGAAAGGACCCTGACTGAAGAGCAGAGAAGTCTGGGTTCTGATCCCCACTGCAGCACTGCAGGCATGGGACGCGGGAGTGGACAGATCTGGGTTCCACTCCAGCTCTTCTGTTTAGGAGCAGTCCCGTTTCTGGCCAGTCATTCACCTCACTGAGCCCCAGTTTCCTCTTTTTAACAGGGGATTATAGTATCTGTCTCAGCAGATTCCTCAGAGGATTATCTGAGGAACCAGGAGGGCTGACATTCAGCTGGCATGCAAGTGTTCCAAATTACTGCTCAGTAAAAAGCTGCTGCTTGGTGCCTCCTGAGCACCCCTGCCATCCAGCACCTCCCCCCATGATTCAGCAACTAAAGGGTGAACATCTAGCCCTATAGCGGGTCTCCAGGACTCTGGGGACCCTTCTGATTGGTCGGGGCCCGTGTTAAACTAATAGGTGTGAGTGAACGCATTGTAAACGGCCAGGTGCTGGTTAAGCCCCACATCCACGCCTCCAGCTCAGATCCATCTCCTGGTCCTGGATATTCAGCCCTGCCTCCTGGGCCCCCACCCCGATGTCTCATGGGCATGGCATGCTCTCCACTCCCAGACTGAACCGAGTCCTGTTAAACCCAGCCCACAAGTTAGCTCCACCTCTGTCCAGCTGTTCCCAGCGGCTTCCATACCCAGTCTCTCCCGTGTCTCCCAATTCTCTTTCCTCTAAGTCCCCCAGGCACATCCCTCCTTCCTGCCCCCACCCTCCTCGTGCCCTCATCATTCCTCTGCTAAGTCGGAACAACCTCCTCACTGGCCTCTGGGCTCCAGCCCCGCCTCCATTTCAATCTCAAACTGTGGGCAGAGCCACCTTCCAAAACCAGGGGTCTCTTTTTTTTTTTGAGGAAGATTAGCCCTGAGCTAACTACTGCCAGTCCTCCTCTTTTTGCTGAGGAAGCCTGACCCTGAGCTAACATCGTGCCCATCTTCCTCTACTTTATATGTGGGATGCCTACCACAGTATGGTGTGCCAAGCGGTGCCATGTCCACACCCGGGATCCAAACCAGCGAACCCAGGGCCGCCGAAAAGTGGAACGTGTGAACTTAACTGCTGCGCCACTGGGCTGGCCCCAAAGGGGTCTCTTTTTGACCCTCAACAAGATGTCAACCATCCTCGACATTCTTCCATGATGGTTGTCAGAGCTTGGCTTCCTGGGGAAGGGGATTCTGAGATGAAGATTTGCTGGCAGGAGGTTTATTGGGGATTGACTTCAAGATCAATACCTGTAGGGCAGTGAGTGAAGCAGGACTGGGCAGAGGGACAAGCTGGGCTGTGATGCAGACCCCACAGAGGCGTCAGCCCACCTCTCAGGAGCTCTAGAGCTGGAACGACTTTTCACAGTTATCCCAAATTGGAGCAAGGGAGCTGGGCCTTTATACCCCTACATGGACCAATCACTAGATGCAGGCTGGTCCTGGGAAGGGGAGTGACACTAAATGTGGAGGGTCTCTTAAGTCTAAGGCAGTGGTACGGAGGGCAGTCTCAGCTGTGAGCTGTCAGGCATTGGAGGGGAGAAGGCTCCGGTCTGAGGGGGGAGGCGCGGCATCCGAGCAGCGCATCACAGCGCCCACTGCGAAGGTACTGTGGGTCGAGTAGATCCTCAGAAATGTTTGCTGCATGATGAAAAGAATGACTCTTCGTTGCCTTCAAGATAAATTTTAAGTGTCTTAGTTAGAACACAAGGCTCTTGATGCTCCACCCCCAACATCCTCTCCATTCCGCTGTCTTCTCTCACCCCTCCACACTTGCTCCCAGCTCTCTAACCATATTGTGCTTCTCGCAGTTTCCCAAGCTCGACGTGCTATTTCACACCTCTCTGCTTGTGCACATGTTATTCATCTGCCTGAAATGCCTTTAAGTGGAAACAGAAATCCTATTCTCTTCTTCCAGCCCATTCCTACTCCTCCATCAAGACTCTGGCGACGTTCTCCCTCCCCCGGGAAGCCTTCTCCTAGTTTCTGCAAAGCAGGTGCTCCCGCCACGCGCCCAGGCGCAGCCGTTGGCTGCTGGTCTGCGTGGGATCTTCGTCCAGGCTCAGATCCACAGGACGAGGTGCCGCGAGCGCCCTCGGTTACTCAGGATGCATTTGTGGAACTGCAGTAGAAGAGTCTGGGGGAAGGGCAGGCTGGAGAAGAGACTGAGCGCAAAGCGTGGAGGCGGGAAAGTACCCGCGTGTTGGGAGAGGGCCCTGCAATGTCTCATACTGTCCAACAGGATGGTTGTCATCATCCTTCTCCTCTCACTGCCATCATCACCATCATCATTGTCACCAAGGCTGCACTGATGAGTGCTTACTACATACCAGGCTCTGAGCCAAGTGTACAGACACACTGGCCTATAATCCTTATTTTATCCTCACTATTAATAACCCCCAATAGGAGGTACTGTTATTATCACTACTTTCCGGATATGGAAACTGAAGTTGAGGAAGGTTAAGAGCTCCACCCGAGGTCACACAGCTGGTTAACGGTCCGTCTGACCCCAACACTATCCACCTCACCAGGAGGCAGCTGGGCCACACTGCTCTGGTCCCTTCCCGCCCCCTCCTGTCCCTTCACTGTCTGCAGAACTCCCTTCCTAAATGAAAGGACATCCCGCTGAGGAGATGGAGGGCGGGCCCAGCTGCAGCCCCAAGAGACAAGGGAGGGGCTTTGGGAAGGGGAGGGGAGGACGTTCAGAACCCCATCTGCCCCTCCAGATCAGCCTGAGACACGTTTGATTCAGCTACAGTTATGAGTGTTGCTCGGAGAGCTTGTCCCCGCCTCCTGTCTGCAAATAAGAACTCTGAAGCCCTGAAGGGGAAGAGCCCCATCCAAGTCACACTGTGTCAGGGCCAGCCGGGGCTACAGCCCGCACTCGGGGCTCCTGGACCAGGGCCCTGCCCACTGCCAGGCTACTGCAGCAAATGCCACATTTAGGATGAAATTGGAGGGCACAGTGGGGAGACCTCCTCACCACACAAAGGCAGACCTCCCAAGGCCCCTGGAGATGCTGGAGTCCCTCCAGGGAGACGAGCCTCCTGACCCTCACTGAGGCCCACAGTCTGCGCCCCTGTTGGGAGCCCCCCGCCCTGGCTCCCCTGCCTTAGGAAATGCACCTTAGATGCACCTTAGAAATGCGCCTTAGAGCAGCCAGGGTCTGGTTCTGAGGAGGCTCTGGAAGGGAGCAGACCCCAAACCTGGTCATGACAGGGACGGATGGACAAATGAGAAGCAGCAAGTCCGGGGAGAGGCTTTTTGCCAGATTGGTTTTAATCCGGCTCCAAGGGTACTGAGCGCATGAACTTGGGGGAGGTAACTGATTGCTCTGGGCCTCGGGTTCCTCATCTACAGAATGGGAATAAGTGTTACTATGGGGCAGGATTCAATGAGATATTGAGGGTATTTGATGAGGCAACGGGTCCCTGTGCCCAGAAGGAGATGTAGATGGCAGCTGGGATTATTAATGAGGCTGAAGTCGGGCAGAACTAGCAGATTTGTCCACATCTTTCCAGTCCTTGCTGGACAACATGGAACCTTCTTGGCCAGGCACCTGACACCCACACTGCCTTTTCACCTCTCCTCACTCATGCTCTGCTCCAGCCCTTCCAGAGTTCTCTTTCATACCCTAAGCTTTTCCTGAAATTGTGTGTTTGTTTACTGGTCTGTCTCCTCAACTTGACAATGATCCCCTAAAGGACCATGACCATTTCTGGTTCCTCTGTGTCCCCGGAGTCCAGCACAAGGCCTGGCCAGTGTGCCCAGTGCCTAGGGTCTATTGAATTGTATGGGGTTCTGCAGCCTCCAAAGGCAGAACCAAGCCCAGCGGTTGGGTGATGCAGGAAGACAGATGCAGTGTGAGGAAGGCCTTTCTGCTAGAACTCTCCAGAGGTAGAAGGAAGTTGCAAGAGAGGTAGTGAGTTTCCTGGAAGCAGTTAAGCAGAACCTGTGGGTATTTGGCAGTGGCGTGATCACCAAAAACCAACTGGTTCCACAGAATCGCTGAGCCTGGCAAGAATATCTGAGCTGGAGAGCCACTCAGAAAGTCTGTGAAAGATGACATGAGTGGAGTCATATTAAAACAGAGATGGAGCAGCCATCTCAGAGAAATTGCCTTGCACATCTTGTCTTCTTTATCTTCCAAACTGGACCAAACCACCATCATTCTAAGAAGTCAGAAAGGACAAGAATATCCTGTCTGTAAGGACTGATGAAATTGGACTTTGCTGATGACCGAATCGCTAACCAACCAATGAAGGACAAGTCTAGCTTTTTGCCTGATGACCGAACCTCAAGCCGATGTTTGAAGGACAAAACCAACCCTACCTCTTCTAGCTCCAATGAACTCTTCTTTAATACAACTCACCTCCTTCTTCTCCCTTTTTCCCATTTAAATCCTAAGGCTCTCTCCTGTAATTGGGACACTATTTGGGTTTCTAGCTGAATCTGTGCTCCCCGAATTGCAATTCTTTGATCCCAAATAAACGCTTTGCCTCTTAAACTGGCTCCTGGTTTTGTAGGATGACAAGTCCAACCCTCTCAACATACAGATGGGGAGACTAGAGCCTCAAAAGGGGACAGACTTGCCCAAGGCCAGCCAATGCCAAGTCCAGGATGAGGAGCAGGTCTCCTGGCTCTGCAGAGTGAGGACAGGCACTGTTACATCCAATTTACAAAGGAGGAGACCAAGGCCCAGAAAGAGGCAGAAATTTGCTGAGGTCACCAAGAGAGTCTGTGACACACCAAAATCCATCTCACTGGCTTTAGTGCTCTCCCATGGCTGCCTGAGGCAAAAGGTTTCTGGCTGGAGGAGTAGGAGCCAGAAGCCTGATCCCCACCTGTAGCGAGGCTGGAATAAGTCACACTTCCTGGAGCCATCGGGCAGCGTCTTCAGGCTGGAAAAGCCACCATGCACTCCCCTGACCCTGTTCCATCGGCCAAAAGAATCCCGGAGGGGAGGCCTGCAAGGCACATTACCCACCCACTGCGAGTCTGAGGACACTGGGCTCGGAAAGGGGAGCGGCTGCTCCCAGAGCCCCTGCCACCCTGGCCTGGCCTCAGAGTGGGGGCAGCGGGGGGCCTTGGCCCTAAGCCTGTTCTCTCTCAGGAGAGAGGCAGAGAGAGGCACCAGTTCAGAGGGCAGGTTGTGCTAACCTGGGAGAGTCGGGTAGGAAGGAGCCGACACCTGCAGCCGCTTGGCAAACAGGCAGCCCCTGGGCAGCACTACCTCTCAACAAGAGGGAAGCCTTTGAGAACCTGAAGAAAACAGCTCGGATTTGCACATCCCTCATCTGTTCTCCCATCAGATCCCCGCCACTGTTCCCTCAGGTACCCCTGCCGGCCCCTGGCATCCACGGTCCCAGTTGCTGCCCTATCTCTACGCATCAGATGCCTCTAACTCCCATGATCTCTCTTGCCTTCCTGCCTTTGCATGTGCTATTCTCAGCCTGGAATGCTGTCCCCTCCCTTGTCCTTCTGACTCCTATGCCCGTCTTCAGCTGAGGCATCTCTGAGAGGCCTCCCAGGCCCTCCCACCCAGCCAGCCCCTCCTGCTCCCTGAAGCAGATCAGATGCCACATGCTCTGGCTTCCCCCAGCCCAGGTGCCTCCTTCCCTCTGTCACAGTGCAGGTCACACCCATGGTCACTGCCTTTGTCTGTGTCGTGTCTGCCTCCCCCACCAGACTGGAAGCCTCTAGAAAACAGGGCTGGGCACTGACTTAGGCAATATCCTCAAATACAGCAAAGGGCTGACCACAAAGGATTAAGTCATTCATTCATTCATCCTTCATTCCACGAATAATGACCAGGCACCAACTCTGCCAGGCCCTGTTCCAGTGCAGGAGATGGAGCAGGGTACAAGACAGACAAAACCTGGGGCACGATCATCATTCTCTGGGGGGTGTGGATGGGGCAGATGAAAGTGAAAATATAGCGGTCCAAAGAAGTTTGGATGGTGACAGGTGCTGTAAAAAAGTGAAACAGTGTTTACTGAACCAGGAACTGCAAATAGGGAGACAAGGGTTTCAGACAGGTACAGGGGGCTGGGGGGAGGAAAATTCCAGATGCAGCTGCCCACTGCCTCTAGGTCCCTCTGTTACATTCTCTCTCCAGGGCTGCCAGGCTCTGGGGGAAGGAGGCATGTGGGAAGGAAGCCTTGGGCCCCCTGGAAGTGCCAGACGTCTCTCCCACCCACAGACACACTTCCTGGCTCTCCAGGAATTCAATTCAGCAACAGTTACTGAATAGTTAGTTATGAAAGTCACAAGAGCTGCCAATGATCATGGGCCTCGAGAGTTCCAGGGGCAGAGATGGCATCCCTCTCTCATGGAGCCTCGCACAGCCTGCTGAGGTGGGGGCCTTGCCCAGGGTCACACAGCTGGTCACTGGCCCAAGTGTGGTGACTCCTGGGTCCACGTGCTTCCCACGACACTCCCCAAGCCCCCAAAGCCTTGGAGGGCAAACAAGTGGTCCCAGTGGCAGAAAGAGCTGGAGCCTGAGTCTAGATTCCAAGGTCCTAATTCCAGCATGGGTTTGCTGAGTTGGGAGGAGCTCCTTAACTCCTCTGGGGCTCAGTTTCTCTCTGTTTCAAGAGGAGCCCCTTAGCGCAGCGCACCTGAAAGTGTTGCCAGGAGTATCAGATGAGATAGTGTGCAAGTATTTTGGAAAAATCACCATGACACAACAGTCCGCTCCTCCACCCCTGAGACCCCCCACCCCAGCCACCCTCCCTACCCCTCCAATCTCGCCCCTGTGTCAGGGGCTACACCAAGCTGGCCCCTCAACGGTGGCACTCAACGGTGAGTTTGCTGCTGAGCATGGCCAGAAGCAAAAGCCTCTGTGAACCCTGATCGCCTGGCAGTCTGGCAGACAGAAACCCAGTGTAAAGGCCAGGGGCGGAGCTGAGGGCAGGATTGCCAGTCTGAGGAAAGGTGAGGGCCAGATCAAGGGTCACGTGTCCTGCAGGTTCCTGCTGAGGCAGGATGACTCAGTAATATCACCACTCTCCTCCCCTGAGAGAGCCAACTGCAGTCCTCAGCTTATAGGGGAGGCAGAGATAGCATTTGCTAAGGGCCTACTATATGCTGGTGCTCTCTTAGGCATTATCTCATTTAATCTACTGTAGGAAGCACAGAAAGTTAACTACCTAGCTCAATGTTGCAGAATGAGTGTGTCAGTTTGCCAGGGCTGCCATATCAAAGACCCACAGACTAGATGGCTCAAACAAGAGAAATTTATTTTCTCACGGTTCTGCAGGCTAGAATCTGAGATGAAGGTGTCTGCATGGTTGGTTTCTTGTGGGGTCTCTCTTACTGGCTTGTAGATGGCCGTCCTCATATTTGCGTGGCATTCTCCTATGTGTGCGAGTGTCCCAATCTCCTCTTCTTATAAGGGCACCAGTCGTATTAGATTAGGACTCACCCTAATGACCTCATTTTAACTTAATTACTTCTTTAAAGACCCTACCTCCAAATACAGTCATATTCCATACTGGGAATTAGGACTTGAACATATGGATTTTGGGGAGATTCAATTCAGCATATAACAGTGAGTAAGTGACAGAGCCAGCCTTTGAACTTGAGTCTTTCTGGCTCAAAAATCTACCCTCTTTCTATCATACCACACTACCCTCCTCCCTCTCCCCTGAATCCAACTGTCTCTCATTGGTCTGCCACAAGGGGAACTAACATATTCTGACTGTCTACTGCATACCAGGAGCTTTGTCCCCATTTTTCCATTTAATACAACAACCCTGTGAGATGGGCACCTTGAAGAAACTGAAACTGAGACAGGGAAGTGGCCCGAGCGCACCCAGGGAGTTAGCGGCCGAGTCAGGGCGTGAAATCATGTGTCTGATCCTCTCCACCATGACATACTGCTTCCCCTCCTGTTGTGATATTCATATTACTTGACTACAGCACAGTTGCACAGCAAAATGGCGGCATGGCCAAATGGACATTGGCACTTCTGGCTGGGCAGAGGGCTGCCAGGCATTAACCATTTAATTACTGGAGTACCTGGGCCAAATGGGGAGCACCAGGAGAAGTTAAGGGAAATGGCTATCTACCAACCAACATAGAAGTGTATCAATCTTTTTTTTTTTTGAGGAAGATTAGCCCTGAGCTAACTACTGCCAATCCTCCTCTTTTTGCTGAGGAAGCCTGGCCCTGAGCTAACATCCATGCCCATCTTCCTCTACTTTTTATATATGGGACGCCTACCACAGCATGGCTTTTACCAAGCAGTGCTACGTCTGCACCTGGGATCCGAACCGGCAAACCCGAGGCCGCCGAGAAGCGGAACGTGCAAACTTAACTGCTGCGCCACCGGGCCGGCCCCTGTATCAATCTTTTGACACCTAGTAAAGCAGTTCTGATGCATAGAGTCTGAACGCCAGCCCTATTCTTCTTCATCAGACACTCTTTTGGGGGTTAGGACCGTCATTAAAAGCCAGGATTAGCTGGTGGGAGTAGAAAAACTGCCAGGAACTTCCCCTGACCTTAGAAGGTGCTTGACAAGAAGGAGTTTCCTTCCTTTGAAGAGAGAAGCTACGTCTAAGGAGTTATAACTCAGAGCAGAGGGTACAGGGCCGGCAGGCCTAAGAAACCATGCTGTCCAAGCCCCTTACCATACAGATAGGTAGACTGAGGCCCAGGGGCAAGGATTTGCCCGAGTTTGTGCAGTGAGCTGGGCTGGAACCGGGGCTGGAACCCCAGGCTCCGGTCTCCCGGACCACATCTGCCCAAGTGCCTTGACCCCACCAGAGCCATGAACTCACTCCCCTCATTGCCTCATGCGAGTTCAACAGCCTCTTGGTCTGCTGGTTTGCCCCAGAGACAAGAATTCCAGAACAGGGCACCAGAGTTCCCTGGAGTGTCCTCACCTGCCCTGACCCAGGCTGGGCTGAATGAGGCTGGCAGCCATCCCAGAGGAGGTGCCTCATCCACCTGCCTGTCCAGGGTGAGGCGAGTTGACCGTGCCATAGACCACAGGGCCTGGGTGGGCCCCTCTCCGTGATTGAGAGGGCAGGGGCCTGGTGGCATAGTTGGAAGTCCCTCTACCTTGAACCCCCATGTAAGTGAAGCAGTTAAGAGCACAGACTCTGAAACCACAGGACCTGGATTCAAGTCTTAGCTCCACCACTTACCAACTCCATGAATCGAGGAAGTTAGTTAACGTCTCTATGCCTCAGTTTCCCTTTCTGTAAAATAGGGATGATAACAATAGTGTCTTCCACACAGAGTCAAGAGGAATAAATGAGTTAACAAGAACTATAGCCTGCCCGTTGTAAGTTTCAGCAAAGTTGCTAACTTTAAGTTTTATTTCCTGGGGCCATTGTCACAGGTGCCAACAGCACGGTAACTATCTTCAAATCCCAGCTCTGCCTCTTTCTCACTGTGTGGCCTTGGACAACTGCTTCCCCTCTCTGAGCTCCAGTCTGTAAAAGGAGGGCATGAGCCCCACCTCCCAGGGTCACTGTGAGCATCAAAGCTGACCACAGCATGAGCCCCACGAAATGCTCTATGAATTTAATTCCTGTGACTACCGCCAGAAATTTAAATGAAAGTCTCTTTTCTTCTTTTAGTGCAAGCCTGCCCTGCAGCTCCAAAGAGTAGGACTTAGAGCTGGCTGGGGTGGGAGGGCGGTTCAATGACCCCAGCCGCTCACCGTGGACTGAAGCACCCCTCCTTTGTGTGATCATCCCCCGGATGTCTGTTCCGACAGCAAGAAGCCCTTGGCTGATGAACTTTCCCCACCTCTCTGGCAGGGCACGGCGTTCCATCACGTGCTGGCCTTGGGCACACGCCCTTATGTAACCATGTAACTGCCCTGCTCACTCCCCCTCTCCTCTCCCTCCTGCCCTGCCTCCCTCCTCCTTCACCTCCGATTCTGTTTCCTGCTCCAAAACGCAGACCCTCTCACTTCCTCTGCTCAGGCCCTGGTTCAGAAGACAGACCCTGACCTCCCAGCTCCTAGGCCTTTAACTAGAGACACTCAGGATTTCAATCTCTGGGGATACGAGAGCAGTCATTATGAATAGTGGACACAGCAGAGCAAAGGTTGAGTGGATAGAAAGCACAGAAGTGTCTGGGGACCTGTCACCTAGTGGGGGTGACTACCGGCTAGGTATGGAGGTGGGCAGATGTGTGGAGGGAGATGAGGCCGGACAGGCAGGGGGTCCTCACCTCGTGGTCGCTCAAGAACATTGAGAGGTTGAGACTGGCAGAAGGAATGGGGCAAAGCCCCGATGGTCAGTGTGCTCCCTGGGACCAGAGCCCACTCAGAGGGCCCAGCGTGGCCCAGCACAGGGCATGGAGCAGGGGACTTCTCATGGGGGAGCGAAGCTGAGTGTGAGCGTGAGTGTGGAGGGGTGGGGCCGAGTGATCATGGGCTCTCCGGCCCAATAGCCAGAGGTTTAAATCATTTAGCCACTCACAAACCATACAACCACTTCCCCTCTCTGAGCCTCAGTTTCCCCAACTATAAAATCAGACTAATAATTTCACCTGCTTTGTAGTGAGCATTCACAGAGGCGATGCTGGCGATTATGACATGTAGCACAGTGTCTGGGCACACAGCAGGAGCTCGACAAATCTTAGCCTCTTTCCTCGCCTCCACTCCATTCCCCTCTGCTCTCAGCTCTGAGGGCAGGTGTGTGAACTGAGTCACCCCAATTGCTCAACAAGTCTTCACGGAACACCTACTTCTAAAATGTTTATATAAGAGATTATCATTATTGATAGCAATAGATACTTATTGTGCAATTACTATGTGTTCAGACTGTGAACCATTTTACGTAAGTGATTCCATTGAATCCCTTCCACCGTCTTGCAAGGTAATAATTTTCTTCATTTTACAGAAAAGGAAACGGTGTCATTCAGGGGCTCGATGAAAGCGGCAGAGCCAACATTCAACCCCAGGTCTGTGTGATATAAGAGCTGAGCACTTCCTCACTTTTCTTGCTGTTCCCACCATATTTTTTGGCCCATCCGTTTTCCCCGCAGCCTCCCCGCTCTGTCCGCCCACCAGGGCACGAGGCAGTGGGTATCTAAGGGAGGCAGATTGGCGCAGCAGAAACAGCAAGGGCCTCAGAATCAGAGACCTGGGCTCCAGTCCTGGCTGTTCCAGTTATGAGCTGAGTGACGTTAGGCAAGTTGTTTTACCTCTCTGAGCCTTGGCTTCCTCATCTAAACACGAGAGATAAGAGGAAGTAATGGATGTGTGTGCTCAGCCCAGAGCCCGACCCAAATGCCTCTTCTCTTCATCTCACACAGGGATGTGAGAAACACCTTGTGCACAGGACATTGCTGTGGTCCTGTAAGGAATAACTAACCAGAACTCTCTGCTTAGTCGGTGGACCCAGAATGTAATGATCTGGCATCTTCTGAAGAATGGACTCTGAGCATCACTGTCTTCAGAAACCCCAAACGTTGTTCTTGTTGTTCCAGACCAAAGCCAATGCCTCCAGATAGCCTAGAATTAGGGAGGTTGGGAATTTAAGAAGAAGCCTGACTCAGAGCCTAAAGGAGTGGCCAGCTGTGCCTCTGTCCCAACATGCTGTGTGACTATGGACAAGCCCCTACCTTCTCTGGGCCTCAATTTCTCCATCTGTAAAATCCAGGCTTCTAAGGCAGGTCAGCCTGTCCTGATTATAGAGAACTCCTCCCGAAGGGCTCTTGTCCTCACGTGCAGACCCTAACCCTGAGCACTGATGCGTGCCAGGCCGGGCAAATAGGCCCCAAGGCACGCTCAGCTTGGGTAAAATAAGCCAATGAAAGCCTCGCAATCAGAGCCCCAGGACAACTGCTGAGTTGCAAAGAGGCTCTCCCAGGCCAGACAGCCCCGTCTCTATCACAGAGGGAGCAGAATGTACACATTCACAGTCAGACTTTATGGTCTCATTGCTCACAATCCAGACCGGGCAGGCAGGGCCTCTGATCAGCACTTTATAAAAAATAAAACCAAAAGTCAGAGAAAGGGCTTCGTCGGCTTGCTCGAGATCCCAGCTGGGACACGGTGGAGCTGAATGGTTCTCTGGTCCATGAGTCCACATTCTGTGAATCCAACCACTGTATTTCCTTGATTCCAACTTCCCGTGACTCTGATTGTAACCGTCTATGTTCCAAACCTCCAGTTACTGTCCCTTCCTCACACTGTGCTGCTTCTAACATTCATTAAGTCAAAAAGCCCATTCTTCTACCCATACTCACTGAGGGCCTACGATGTGCTAGGTCCTGACTCGATGTTGGGAACACAGCAGCAAGCCCAGGGGAGTCCCTAGACTTGCGGAGCTTACAGTTGGGAGGCAGAGAGGACAAAAATGAGCCAACTATGGCAAAGTGTGGTGAGGGCTGAGGGAAGAAGCAGAGGGTGCGACAGGAGCACCGCCCGGGCGGAGCACAGGACCACACACGGTGGGTCCGGGAAGGCCTCCCGAAGAGCTGACGCTAGGATGCCACCGACCGGAGGAAGCAGTGGACTTTAGCCAGTGCTCCAGTTAGAGAGGACAACGGGTGCAAAGGCTGGGAGGGGGAGGGGACCGTGTCCCTGAGGAGTCACTGAGGTGGTTGTATCCGTCTGGAAAACAGAGGTACAGGCAAGAGGTAAGGGAGGACGGGGAGCTGGGTCGGATCACGCGTGGCACTTTGCGACGCGGTCAACAGCTGCAGCCTCACCCTAGAAGCAACAGTCACGGGAAGATTTTAAACCAGGTAGAGACAAGATCAGTATTGCGTTTTAAAAGAAACCCTCTTACAGGTCCAAAGGGCTTGATCTGGAGGTGATGATATGAAGGCAGGGAGACATGACAGAGGTGATTTCTGAGGTCTAGGCAAGAAATGCCATCAGCTGGACCAGGATCAGGTGATGCAAAGAGAGAGAAGAAGGATTTGAGAAACTTGGGGATGCACCGAGTATGGGCATGAGGAAGAGAGAGGAGCCTCGGACCATCCCAGCTTCCTGGTTTAGACAGCTGGGTGGGTGGTGCCACCTTTCATCAAGATGAGGACTTGGGAGAGGCGGCTTTGAGTGGGAGCTTCAGGGAGTGAAGTGTGAGGTCTGTGGGACCGCCCCCCGCAAGTGGAGATGCTGAACAGGCACATGGCCAGAGAGGTCTGACAGAGGCGGACATGAGAGGTGGCAGCGGGAGCTACAGATACACATCCTTCAGCAACTGAAGGCATGGGGAGTCTCCACAGGCAAGCCCAAGGACACAGTATCAAAGGGAGGGGAGTCGGGGTGCAGGGCACAGCCTGGGGGCAATCATGTGTGGGCTGGGGACCAAGGAGGAGCCAGTAAAGGGGAACAAGAAGGGCGACCCGCTGTCCAGGGAGAACATGAAGAGGGAAGCCAAGGAGAGAGAGAGTCAGCTGTGCCAGCGTCACACGGCGAGGGCTGGTGAGGCATTGCTGGCAGCTTAGCAGTAGCAAAGGCCAGCTGACGGTTGTCTAGAGGCGACGAACAGGAAGGTGGGAACCACGAAACCGGACTGTCATTTAAGAAATTTGATGCAAGGCGAGGAACTCAGTAAACATTCCTTGAGTGAATGGATCAGAGGGCCGGGGAGAGACCGCCACCATCGCGGGGCAGCTAGGCTGGAGGGGGAGACACTAAAACAGAGGTTCTCAAACTTCCCCTTGCACCCTTTTGGTGGGATGCAAAATCAATTTACAAGGTTGTGACCACATTGTTATTCCTAATGGATACAACAGGATAGAAATAAAATAGCAGACTGGGAAGGGTAAGTATTGTTCTGTCAAGCTTTTGTTTCAGCATTATATACATGTCTATGTCCTGGTGTCCCGGTTCTGTGATAATATCCATTTCTTACTACGGGCTGTCATCAAAAAAAAAAATCTGGAAACTCCTTGATTGGACTTGTTTGCTTATGGACAGGAATGACTCCACTGTTCTCTGAGAGTCAGCCTCTGTGAAGGCAGCGTACTGTTTGCCCTGGGACAGAAGGTAATAAATTGAGCACACAGCCCTTTGCACGCAATAACATAATCATGCAACCCAAGCCTGATAACGAAGGTCCCCGGAGTTCACAAGGTCCCCGGAGTTTACTGGCGCACGAGGGCTAGACCTCGGCAGGAAGGCACCACGGTGTGAACGAGTCATCTTCCCCTACAGAGGGCACAGCAGCGAGGGGCCAAGGAGACAGTGGTCCCACAGACTCGGCTGAAAGTGGCCCTGCACATATGTTGTCATCAATAAGCTGCTCCGGCCCACCTCAGCTGGGGACGAGCTAGGACGGGGATCCCACGTCCTGACCCCGTCGGGCCTGTGTGCCTGCAGAGTGTGGTGGTCCGATACGATCTGTCCCCGGTCAGGGAGACAGGACCACAGGAAAGAGGGGAGGGTCCAGGTGACTGATAAGCACTGAGAGACTCAAGGGAGAGAGACAGGGGCCGAGGGGGGCCCTACGGAGGGAAGAGGGCATGAATAGTGCGTGGAGGTGAAGACAGAAAGCAAGAGAGAGTTGCAGCCCTCAGGGAGGAGACTCAGGCTAACAGGAGGGGAACAGGGCCCCCCAGAGCCTTCCCTCCTCCTCCCCGGGCACCCTTCACTGAGGTTCTCTCAGTTGAGCGCCTGACACGCAGAGACCACCTGCTCGTGACAGAGGTCTCCCCACTGTACCCGGGAAGCACAGAGGAAGGCCCTCCAATGGGAGAGTTAAGTGTTGAGAAGATCAAGGGAGGCCTCCTGGAAGAGGTGACACTGAGTGGCATTTGGAGTGATAAGTAAGAGACGTGATGGGGCAAGGGACACTTCTGTAGGGTGGCCAGCAGGAGCAAAGGCATGGAGACAGCAACCAACTGCCAGAATCTGCGAGGAACCCCAACAGCTGGGGACATGGAGCATCAAGTTGCAGCAGGAGGCAGGGCTGGAGAAGGGGCTACACAGAGACACAAACCAAATGCTCCCAGGCTTGAAGGAAGAGAAACTGTGGGAAATGGAAATATCTTTGTGGAGGAGGCGCAGGGCTTGGAAGAGAGCGAGGACCGCATCTGGCAGACTGGGCTGAGACAGTCATTCCAGGCACGGGGAAAGCAGGGAGGTGGGAGAGTGGGAGAGAAATATTTAGGGAAGCGTCTGATTTGGCAGGAGAGGAGCAGTGCTCATCACGCAGCAATTGCTGAGATACCAGCAAAGCCCCTGCACAGCCTTCTGCCCCGCACAGGAGTGACTGGGGCGACCCCAAAGGCCAGTTTTACCTTCTAGCTTTGTGACCCTACATGAGTCACTCCTGAGTCTCAGTTTCCACATCTGAAAAATGGAGGTGATGAGCGACTACCTGAGCAGTTCACTCACACGTTTAAAACGAGAATGCGTGTGGAAGGACTTTGCAAACCCTCCAGCAGACGTGCTGCCACGTCCCCCAACCCCGAAGCGGACATCAGAAGCACCATGGACGCTTTTGAAAACCCCAGCATGCCGTGGCGGCCTCAGACCTGCAGAGTCAGAAGGGAGGCTGGACAGGTATTCTTTTTCTTCCAGCTCTTCTTTTCTATTATTTCCTTACGTGGTCCTGAAGCTCTATTAACTTCAGATCTGCCAGCTTCTGACAACTGAAAAAAAAGAAATCGCAGCAAGAAAAACAGAGATCCTGGAGGTTCATGGGAACACACTGGATGTAGA